ATAAGACTGTCTTAACCAGGTCAATGGGAAAACTTCTGGGTATGATTAAATTTTGCCATCTTTTATTCCTGTACTTCAAAAGTAAAAGCATTCCTGTATTTTTTTCCTCAAGTAATTTCTAAATTTAAGAAAATTATTTTTTCCATATTTGTGGAAGATTAAAGTTGAATTATGATTTTTTAAAAATATATACTCATTAAAATATTTGGTAATTAAAAATAGAAGAGGCCGCCAGGCTTGGTGTGGCTCAGCAGTTGAGCATTGACCTAGGATCCAGGAGATCATGGTTCGATTCCCAGTCAGGCACATGCCCAGGTTGCGGGCCAATCCCCAGTTGGGGGCGTACAGGAGGCGGCCAATCAATGACGACTCTCTCATCATTGATGTTTCTATCTCTCTCTCTCCCTCTTCTTTTCTCTCTCTGAAATCAATAAAGATATATTAAAAAAAAAAAAAAATAGAAGAGGCCCATCCTGGCTGGTGTGGTTCAGTTGGTTGAGCGTTGTCCCGTGCACCAAAGTGTCGCTGGTTCAATTCTTAGGGCACGTGCCCAGGTTACAGGTTTGATCCCTGGTTGGGGTGCATGTGGAAGGCAATCAAGGTTTCTCTCTCACATCAATGATTCTCTCTCTTCCTCTCTAAAATCAATTTTTAAAAAAATATAAAAACAGAAGACGCCCTGACCAGGGGTAGCTCAGTTAGCATCATCCTGATACTCTAAGGTTGTGGATTTGATCCCCAGTCAGGGCACATACAAGAAGCAACAAATAAGTGGAACAACAGATCATTGTTTCTCTCTCTTTCTAAAAAAATCAATAAATTAAAAAAAAATAAAAGACATTATTCTTAGTTCTATACCCAAATAAACTATTAACATTTGATATTTTCTTTTGGTCTCTTTATGTATGGACTATTTATAAATATATGATATGTTTTTAAACAAATCTGTATTCAATTTTGTGTCCTACTTTTTTTCACCTATTATTATATCATGTTATTGCATATTCCCCAGAAACATCATTTAAAATAATATATTATTCCATCAAATGGACTCATATTACCATAATCACTTAACTATACCTTTATTGTTCATTTAAATGAGTGATTATCTGATTTTTAAAAGTTTACTGGTATGATTTTTTTTAATGTTTTTATTGAATTTAGAGAGAGAGGAAAGGAGTGAGAGAGAGAGAGAGAAACATCAACGAGAGAGAAACATCCATTGGCTGCCTCCTGCATGCCCCTACTGGGGATCAAGCCCAAAACCCAGGCATGTGCCTTGATTGGGAGTCTAACTGGGGACCTCTTGGTATATGGGATGATGCTCAGCTAACTGAGCGACACTGGCTAGGCCTGGTATGATTTTTAAAAACCTATCTGTGCCTCTTTTTGCACCATTCTTCCTTCCTGCTTTAGAGGTGTCCCGCTTCCTACTTAACATAATACCAGATCACCTCCCTACCTACCACTATCTGTGACCAGATTCTCTCCTGTCTTTATCTTTCTTTCTTCACTAGTGCGTTCTTCCTAGTACATAAACATTCTCAAGCCTTTCTTATCATAAAAAAAACACCCCTCACCCTGGCCAGGTGGCTCAGTTGGTTGGAGCAGGATCCTGTATACCAAAAGGTTGCAGGTTGGATTCTGGTTGGGGCACATGCCTAGGTTGCAGGTTCTGATCATTGTTTCTCTCTTTCTCCCTCCCTTTCTAAAATCAATAAAAACATACCCTTGGATGTGGATTAAAAAAATAATTTTTTAGCCCGGCCGGGCGTGGCTCAGCGGTTGAGCGTCGACCTGGAATCCAGGCGATCAGGGTTCGATTCCCGGTCAGGGCACATGCCCAGGTTGCGGGCTCGATCAATGACTCTCTCATCATTGATGTTTCTGTCTCTCTCTCTCCCTCTCCTTTCCTCTCTCTGAAATCAATAAAGATATATTTAAAAAATAATAATTTTTTAAAAAAGAAAAGCACCCAGTACAACCTACACAACCCACTTCCTCAACCTGTCTTCCTCTAGCTAGTTCTCTCTTTCCCTCCCCTTTTTTTAAAAAAAATATGTTTTTATTGATTTCAGGGAGGAAGGGAGAGGGAGAGATAGAGATAGAAACATCAATGAGGAGAGAGTCTTTGATTGGCTCTCTCCTGCACAACCCCCCACTGGAAATTGAGCCCGAAACCCAGGCATGTGCCCTGACCGGGAATCAAACCGTGATCTCCTGTTTCATAGGTCGATGCTCAACCGCTGAGCCAAGCCAGCCTGGCCTCTTTTCCTCCCTTTGAAATCAAGCTTTTGATGAGTTATCTTCAGTTCCTATCTCTCTGTCTCACCTCTTGTTCACTTTGAACCACTGTAGTCTGGCTTCCACTTCAAATAGCAAGGCCAAGGTGGTTGACAGTGACAATTCAGAGGGATTATTAGTAAGCCCAAGGCCCTGAACTTTAAGGCCCTAATGATGAAGGAACAAGTACAGAGAGAAATGGTAGTCTGGATATCTGTACTTGTAGCAATGTTAGGGGGTATCATTGTTCCTATATAAAATGGATAAAGAAAGATAAGTGGTTCCAAAGGGAACCTTGTGATTTTTCGTATCCATAATCTTGTGTATTAGTCAGGATTTTTATCAGTTGAAAGAGACAAAAACCCAGCTCAAACCAGCCTAAACATAATAGAGAATTTATTGGTTCATGTAACTGATGTTGAAAAGCTGATTGTGGCTTTGCACATGACTGAATCCAGGACCTCAAATGGTCATTCCTGAATTCGATCTCTCAGGTCTACTTTCTTCATTATTGGCTTCATTCTATAAGTAGACTGTCCTCGTTAATGGTAGAGATGGTCACCAACCACTCTGAGTTGTATTTCGTACCAGCTGTGCAATCTCAGGGAAAACAGCTTCCCTTGAGAGCTTCAGTAGGTGTCCCAGGTATCCCCAACTCACTGTCCTGGGTTGGGTCACATGTCCACTGGGAACCAGGGTATGATTCCTAAAGGAAAACTGGAATATAAGATGTTAGGTAGGTAAAATAGTAGATGTCCACTATACCCTAGTTGCTAGGAATCTCCTAGTTAAAGGTAACATTTAAATATACCAAACATTTTATTGATTTGTAAGAAACTGTGGGTGCTTGGATGCAGAATAGAGTTTTTGTTCTTAAGGAACTTTTAATCAAGTAGTAGAAATTAGATGTATACATAAATAATGGTTATTATCATGGATTGAGTGCCTACTGTGTGCCAGCAGGCACTTTGCTAAATGTTTTATATGCATTTTCTCTTTAAGGACAACTCTGTAAGAGTCACTTCTATTATTATTTATATCCATTTTATCTATTTATAAAAAACTACTTAGGCTTTGGAAGTTTACATGGTCCGCCCAAGGTCACACAACTGATGAGTAGTAGAACTGGGGAAAATCCAGTGAGTTCTGACTCAAGCTAGTGCTGTACTTCAGCTGGCATTTGACCTTAGCAAGCCTCTTTGGAGCCATCCCTCCCCCACCCTTTAAAAAATTTGACAGCTTGCCTGGCCGGACGTGGCTCAGCGGTTAAGCGTCGACCTAGGATCCAGACGATCAGGGTTCTATTCCCGGTCAGGGCACATGCCCGGGTTGCGGGCTGCAGCCGATCAATGACTCTCTCATCATTGATGTTTCTGTCTCTCTCTCCCCCTCTCCTTTCCTCTCTCTGAAATCAATAAAGATATATTTTAAATAAATAAATAAATAAAATAAAAATAAAAAATTTGACAGCTTGATTCTACATTCCTGATAGTAATCTGATCACTCAACTTAACTTTTCCAGGACATCACAGTTGATGGTGGGTCTGTGGATTGGCTGTTCTTGTATCCGATGCCCATCTTTGATCCAATTAGCCCACCAGTTGGCTGTCTATACAGGAGATTCAGTCACCGTTCATGACCTCTTCTTTGGGTTTGACCTTTAGGAACCCAAAAAGAGGCATGGCAGCCTTGCCGCTCTTTGAGTCCTTGCTCTCCTGAACTTCCATCCTGCTTTATCTCCACTGTCACCACCTAAATTCAGATTTTCTCCATCTCTCTCCTGCCTAAATGGCCTTCCTGTCTCCAGTCTCACCTGTGTCGACAGAGTGATTCTAAAAGGCAACTTTTATCCAGTCATTCCTTTTAAGTCTTTCAGTGGCTTTCCATAGCCTTCAGGATGAAGTCCAAACTCTATATAAGGGCCTGACACTTGCTTGCCTCCAGCCTTGTATCTAGACACTACTTCCCTTGCACCCTTCAGGTCAGCCTTTTTCTGAACCACTTAAGAGTTCCTTGAACCTATCACATGCCCTCTTACTTCTGGGCCTTCGAATGTGCTATTTTATGTGCCTAAAACCCTCATGCCCATCCTGCCCCCCCATCACCTAGCTAACTCTTGCTTCTCCTGTTGGTGACACATAGTCCTAGAAAACTTCTCAACATCACCCTCTCCCTTTAGCCTGGGGTAGGTATCTATACCTCTTTGCCCTCATAATTCCTTACTCTATCAAAGCATTTATCACTTCATATTTTATTTATATGTTTGTTTGTTTTTAATCCTCACTTGATATTTTTCCATTGCTTTTTTAGAGAGAGTGGGGGGAGAGAGAGAGAGAGAGAGAAAACATCTATGTGAGAGAGAGACATCGATTGGTTGCCTCCTGTACATGTCCTGACTAGGGCTGTGGATCGAGCCTGCATCCGAGGTATGTGCCCTTGGACAGAATCGAACCTGGGACCCTTCAGTCCGTGGGCTGATGCTCTAAACACTGAGCCGAACCAGCTAGGGCATCACTTCATATTTTAAATGTCTGCTATGTAATGTCTTTCCCATTAGAATCAATGGGGGGAAAATCCCCCCCAAATGAGTGACACATAGTAGGCTCTCAATAAATAACTGTTGGACAAATGAATGGGTCTCAGCAATGAGTTCAAGTTGGCACATGCTTGTAGGCTTCTTCTGAACTGGCCTCTTTTTCCTCTGTGGTTCCTTCCAGGGCCTGGGTTTCAGTGATGAGACATGGGGTATGATGTAACCCGCTTCCAGGGGGATGTTGATGAAGATCTGATCTGTCCTATTTGCAGTGGAGTCTTGGAGGAGCCAGTCCAGGTGAGTTGGTCTGCTGGCAGGTGTAGTGGGGCAGTAGATGGCAATGGAACTAGAAAGTGTTCATAGGTAAAGGGAGCAATGGGGGAGTCACTGTGTTCTGATTCGCCATTGCCCTTCCCCACTTCACACACACACACAGAATAGAGGTTTGCGGCAGAGGAGCAGTGGTGACTACAGGAGGAATAGGGCCTTTCAGAGTCTATCTAGAGGTGGATGCCACAGAAGTCCAGTGCTTCTGATTTTCTTCTGAGGTCACTGAGATTTTTCTGCTGTAAAATGGTCAGTTGTTTTTGTCTTTTGACAGCGGCTTGAGAGCTTCCCTTCCTCTCCTGGGGCTCTGACTAGGTTCTCTCTTCCTACCCGTGATTGAACTTCTGGACTCTCCTGATAAGTTCTCTCTGCATTTTGATGATGTAGTGTTTTGTGTAATTAGCCAGTCTCCCTGCAGGCCCTTCCTACTGTTGAACAAATAGAAAGTGGGGAACTCTATGTACTGATCTATTTTCTTCCTGGGATTTATTGGAAAACCCAATTTTGATATAGCCATGGTACTCTGCATTTGATATGAAAGCTGCCACCTTCAATAGGTCATTTCTCTACCAGCCTTGCCAGACCAGTTGTATCTTCCTGGGGCAAGTATGAGAAGTTCATGATTAACAGGCAAGTATAAGGAGTGAGATGAATTCTTAACAGTTGTATTCCTGGGACATCATCTGGTACGGTCCTTATTGTGTGAATTCTATAAATGCCAATTAATCCTCTGCCATTCCTGGCTAGCTAGAGATAATCCCATTTTCTAAATCCAGACACTTGTCAGTGAAGTCTCATGGTCCTTCCCCCACTCACTGCTTACACAGCTCACTGCATCCCAACTCTCCTTGATCCTCTGGGTTTATTCTTACTCTCCAGTTTTCAACCACCCAAAGGAGCACAGATGCCTGAGCTGAATGAAAATCAGCCTGTATCCCAGTGGCAGCTAGCCCTGGACCTCTCCCGTCTTCTAGGCCTTTGCAGCCTACTGCTATTAGAAGCAGATTGGCTGGGTGTGGAGCAAGCTATACTGGTGGTGTCAAGAGGTGATGGGGTATGTCAGTTCCCTCTCCACCCTGGCAGGGCCTTGTCTGTTTTCTGGCACTGTCATTTGAGGTGAGACACTTGTGGAGAGGTCAGTGGTCAGTGGCGGTTGGTGACTGTCTTATCAGAAGCCACCCCCCCAACCTTCACAGTTTACCTTCTGAGGAGCAGGCTAGGCAGAACTCGTGATGCCAGCCACATTACTAGCCACATTTCCAGGAGTGAAGGCCCCTGTTAGGGATGCTGATTTCCCACATCATATTTATTTATTGACTAGGTAATAAATTCACATGGTTTAGAAATCAAAACAGTATAAAAAGGTATACAGGACCCTGGCTGGGTAGCTCAGTTGGTTAGAGTGTTGTCCTAATATGCCAGGCTGTAGGTTTGATCCCCAGTCAGTGTACATATAAAAATCAACCAATGAATGCATAAATAAGTGGAACAACAAATTGATGTTTCTCTCCCTCCCCCACCTCTTTCCCTCCCTATAAAATCAATAAAAAAGGAAAAATCATTGTAAAAAAGGGGTCTGCAGTGAGAACTCTTGTATCCTTGTTCCAGTCCACCTAATCTCCCCATCTGTACAATTAGTTTATTTGGTATCCTTCCAGTATGTATGTGGTCAGATATATATTTGCCCACCTTTATTACATGAAAGATAGTACATTCTGTGTATTTCTGCAGGAGTGGCAGGTTTAGTTGAGATGGTCACAAAAGAGGTGACAGTTGAGCTGAGATCTGAATGATAAGGAACTATTCATGCTAAGATTTAGAGGGAGAGCATTTCAGGCAAAGAGGAGCAGCAAAAGCAAAGGTCCTGAGGCAGGAATGTGCTGGGTGTGGACAAGGAACAGAAAGAAAGCCAAAATGGCCTGAACACAGTGCTGGGAGTATAGTGTGAGATGAGAGGGCGGAGGCACAGGGCCAGATCAAGCAGAATGTTACAGGTCCTGAGTAGGTGTTTGGATTTATTTTACATACAATGGGAAGCCATTGTAAAGTTTTAAACAGGGGAGTGATATGATCTAGTCTTTTTTTTTTTTTTAAATATATCTTTATTGATTTCAGAGAGAGGAAGGGAGAGAGAGAGAAACATCAATGATGAGAGAGTCATTGATCGGCTGCCTCCTGCATGCCCCCTACTGGAAATTGAGCCCACAACCCGGAATGCCCTGACCAGGAATCAAACCTTGATCTTCTGGATCCTAGGTCCATGCTCACCCGCTGAGTCACGCCCGGCCAGGCTAGTCTGTAATTTTTAAATGGTCACTCTGGCTGCTGAATGTAGAATGGAGTAGGGAGATCAGTTAGAAGACATATTTAGTAATATAGGTGAGAAATGATCACTTGAACTGGATTAGTGGCTGTGGAGATGGGGGGAAAGTAGACATATATTAAGATTTTTTTGGCCTAGCCAGGCGTGGTTCAGCAGTTGAGCGTCGACCTAGAATCTAAAAGATCGGGGTTCGATTCCTGGTCATGGCACATCCCGGGTTGTGGGCTGCAGCCGATCAATGACCCTGTCATCACTGATGTTTCTATCTCTCTCCCTCTCCTTTCCTCTCTCTGAAATCAATAAAAAATATATTTTAAAAAAAAAAGATTTTTTTGGAGATAGGGTTTCTAAGATTTTGGAAAGAATCAAGTGTCTTTGAGTGAGAAATAAAAGTCTGATAATTGGATTAGTGATATTGACAATGACTTCTTTCCTTAGAAAGCCTCTGTGTTTCAGTCTTTGCTGTATGTATCTTGAAAGCAGAAACTGTCTTTTTTTTTTTTTTTTTTTTTTTTTTACTGGTGGGATCAAGGCTGGGTCTCCTGCTCTACCATCTTATTGACATAATTCTTAAGCTTNAAAGTGTTTGGGATGTAGTAGGCACTTCATTCATTCATTCATTCGTTCATTCATTCATTCATTCATAAACATCTACTAAATCTTACTATGTTTGTCCCATACTAGAGGCCAGATAGTGTCTCCACAGAGGCCAGAGAATCCTCTCACTTTGAGGGATTAACGTGAGAGGTTACCTGAGTTATCAAGGAAGCAGGCTGAAATATGATCTTTATGAAACTGAAGAGAATATGATTTTGTGAAAAACCAGTCATTTTAGAAGGTAGGCATGGCCATTGGGACTCAGGGCAAAGGAGCCCTCAAAAAACATGAACTTGGGCTCACACAGGCTTAACCTTTTACCAGGAGTTCCAGGCTTTTGTTCTGGTTTGCTTTCTTACATTGAACTCTGGCCAGTAAATCTCTTTCTGCCCCTCTCCCTCCTTATCTTTCAAGCCCCATATTAATTCTGCCCTCTTCATAAATACCTACCCTGATTGACCTAGCTTGGAAAGTTCTCACCTGCCTCTGAATTTCTTTGGTAATTACTGTGTGTGTAATTCAGTTGGCAATTAATAATTGACTACCTCATGTCATCTCCTATTGTCCTGGAATATTTATATCTTATTGTTATATAACTTATTGTTACTTGTTTGTCTTATGTCACAATCCTATTGGAATCTTGAGCACAGGAAACATATCTGAAGCCGGTCCCCTACAGTACCTTGTTTGCCCATAGTGCAGCTATACTCTGCTGTGACCTCAGGGACCTCTGGTCCTAGAAGCTGCTCCTGGGCTTGATTGGCTTTTCCAGTTATCATATGCAGGCTCTTAGCTCCTGCTAATTCTCTTGTGCCCTTTTGCCCTGCTCTCTCTAGGCACCTCATTGCGAGCATGCTTTCTGCAATGCCTGCATCACCCAGTGGTTCTCTCAGCAGCAGACCTGTCCGGTGGACCGCAGCGTAGTGACGGTTGCCCACCTGCGCCCAGTACCTCGGATCATGCGGAACATGTTGTCAAAGCTGCAGATTGCCTGCGACAACGCTGTATTTGGCTGTAGTGCTGTTGTTCGGCTTGACAACCTCATGTCTCACCTCAGCGACTGTGAGCACAACCCAAAACGGCCTGTGACCTGTGAACAGGGCTGCGGGTGAGAGTCCTTCCCTTTTTCTGCCCCACATGGATAAGGGCCTTCCCATCTATACCCCAGGCTTTAGATCCCTTGCTCACTGGCTGAGGGGCATGTAGGCGAGGAGTGTTCTTGTCCTCCCTAGATCCTGCCCTAAGATCTCACTTTCATGCTGCTTTTCCAACTATGATCTTTTTGCTCTTGCTTTAATATAAGGGAGACAGCAATTCAGCAGTCTGCGTGATAACACTAATGATGTGATTTATTTTATTCCCTTTTAGTCCAGTATTTCTCTTTGTCAGATTGACTGCTCTAATTTCCAGCCTTCTCATATTTCTTCTTGCCCTATTTTCTTTCTTTGTTTGGGGTGTGAAATTTTTGATTAAATGCTGATAGCTAGGGCTGTGAATCTAGGGCTTCTCAGGAATGAATGCACAGACAGAATCTGTAGAGGAAACGAGAGCCATGTGGTAGATAAAATACTGTCTTCGAGAAAGAAAGAAGCCCAGAGAAAATAGATAGCAAAGGGGTAAGGGGGAACTGGGGAGGAGTGTGAAGAGAAAGAAGAGGGAGGATGAAGTTAGAAATGGATGTTAGAAATTTGGGGTACGAGAAAGCCCTCTCAGCAAGTTTCTGCCTTTGCCCACATGTTCCATTGAATGCTCTGGGGTGGCAGCCTGGAGATGCCCAAAGATGAGCTGCCAAACCACAATTGCATTAAGCACCTGCGCTCAGTGGTACAGCAGCAGCAGACACGCATCGCAGAGCTGGAGAAGACCTCAGCTGAACACAAACACCAGCTGGCGGAGCAGGTAGGGCCCAAAGAACATGGGAAAAAACATGCCCCTAATATGCAAATAACCACATGCTTGTGAGTGATAAGCACCAAGTCAGCTGCAGATCTATGCCTGTGCTTGTGCACCTGGCTGAGTAGATACTCTGCCTGCGGCTTAGTAGAGAATCAGATACAAGCTTTTCTCCCTTCCCTTCATCCCCTCGATGTCATTCATTCACCTAACATTTATCAAATGCCTTCTCTATGCAGGCACCTGGCTAAGCACTGGGGATACAGCTGTGAATGAAAACAATCATATCCCCGATTTCTCAATTGCTGTCATTCTCACATAAATTCTGCCTGTCATCTGCTCTCTGCCTCAACCATCATCCCTGGTTCTCTTTCCCTCCAACAGAAGCGAGACATCCAGCTGCTGAAGGCATACATGCGTGCAATCCGCAGTGTCAACCCCAACCTTCAGAACCTGGAGGAGACAATTGAATACAATGAGATCCTAGAGTGAGTGTTACTCAGGACGTGGAGTTACTCCACATCCTGGCACTGAGCCATGGAAAGAGGAGAGCAGGGGCAGGGCTGCTCTAGGAGGGCTGGGCTGGGGCCACCACTTTTCAGATGTTGGGATGAAGGACAGGGGCAGAGGAGAAGAGGCTAGAACCTTCAGCTGAATACACACATGTACAAAGCCCTGTATTAAAAGCTGTGGAGTACTAGGAGGGCCAAAAAGAAATAGAATATATTGTCTGTCTTTAGGTAGCTTACAATCCAGAGAAGAAAAGAGAGTGCAATTCCAAGAAAGTTGATCCAAAAATGCAATGAAGCAAACAAGCAAAGTCTAAGATCCCTTTCAGTACTGGAGTCTGATATATCTCATAGACTAAACTATTAAGGGTGAATCAATACATATAGTGCAAATAGTGCTGCATGGGACACACTATAGAGCAGGGGTGGGGAAATTTTTTGCCATTTGGATATTTATAACATCATTTGTAGGCCATACAAAAGTATCAACTTAAAAATTAGCTATGAAAAAGCTCCTAGATTTGTTGAATAGTGAGTCCCACCTGCCATTGCCTTGGCAGGGCCATATGGCCTGTGGGCCGGACTTTCCCCATCCCTGGTATTAAACATTTGTTGAGCACTTAGTACATGCTAGGCACTATGTGTCCTAAGTATTGGGATTTTTAAAAAATATGTTTTTATTGAATCAGAGAAAGAAAGGGAGAGGGAGAGAGAGATAGAAACATCAGTGATGAGAGAGAATCATTGGTCGGTTGCCTCCTGCACTCCCCCTACTGGGGATCAAACCTGCAACCCCAGGCACGTACCCTGACCTGGAATTGAACCGTGATCTCCATGTTCATGGGACGACACTCAACCATGAAGCCACACTGGCCAGGCAGTATTGGGATTTTTAAGAAAAATAATAGGGACCCTACACTTGTAGAGTTTAATTTGGTAAAGTGGTGATTCAGATGGGACCAATTAAAAAGATTAGGAGTTTGTGAACCAATAATGAATGGAAGGGAGGGAGGGAGGGAGGATAGGATTAAGCTGAGTGCAGAGTGGGTAGGCGTTCCTATTAGGGAAAGAAGCAATGCAGAGAAAGAGGGTGAGTTGGAATGACCACCTTCATCTCCCTCCACACAGGTGGGTGAACTCCCTGCAGCCAGCAAGAGTGACCCGCTGGGGAGGGATGATCTCGACCCCAGATGCTGTACTCCAGGCTGTAATCAAGCGCTCCCTGGTGGAGAGTGGCTGTCCTGCCTCTATTGTCAACGAGCTGATAGAAAATGCCCATGAGCGAAGCTGGCCCCAGGGCCTGGCCACACTAGAGACAAGACAGATGAACCGGCGGTACTATGAGAACTATGTGGCCAAACGGATCCCTGGCAAGCAGGCTGTTGTTGTGATGGCCTGTGAGAACCAGCATATGGGTGATGACATGGTGCAGGAGCCGGGGCTTGTCATGATATTTGCGCATGGCGTGGAAGAGATATAGATCTCGGCGGGCTGTCAGGAAGAGATGGAAATCAGAAAAATCTCATCACTCCAGTAGCTGAGCCCTGAGTCCTCCCCACTGTCCTTAATACTGTGGCTTATCCTTGAGCCACACATCTCCCTGCTCTTCTGGCACTGAAGGGCCCTGGAACACTTTGCTCAGCCTTTCAGGTGGGAAACCCAGATTCCCTTCTTTTGCCTAATTTCTTCCCCTAAGATATCTGTAAATTTTCAGTCTGGTTGGGAAAGTCCCCACCTCTATATCTGTTTTCCTGCCTAGGTCCCTAGTTCCAGATATTTTCAGAAAGCACAAAGATACTCATTTTCTCTAGAAGGATCGGGGCAGAGTGAGAAATCTTGAACCATCCCCTTCAAACCAGGGACTCTGAGCAGGCAGGCCTGATGACTCTTAAACACTTAGAGGGCAGCTCTGGAAGCAGACATCCTGAAGAAATGGTAAGGGTGGAACAAAAATCCTAGAAACAATGAGCCAGTAATTGGCCATCATTGATGGCCCTTGGGGAAGACTGGACCTCTGTGCCAAGCAATACCTTGTTTAGTCCACCTTAAAGGTGCAGGCTCCCACTGCTCTGCAGGTGCGCAGGTTGGGATACTGAAAATTTCCAAATGAGCTCTTCTTTCCTACACTTCCTCTTAATTAAGGGATGACAGGAAGCAGGTAAGGGGTTAGTCTGTTGGGGTGAAAATGCTCAGCAGGAAGCAGCTCTCTGGCATTTGCTGAAATCAGGTAGGCAACTGCCTCTTGTGGCACAGGCCATAATAGTTCCCTAGCCCCCTCTCCAGCCCTGTGATTGTAACTAGTTATTTTGATAATTTCCTTTGGTTATTGTTTATATTTCACTCCCTCCCACTTTTTTTTTTTTAGAATGGCCTGGTTATGGCTACCCCATTTTTCCAGCCCAGCCACATTGTTGGCAATTTAATTTATTTACTTTTTTTTTTTTTTAAAGAAAGGAAAAAGAAAAAATTAACAAAACTTAAAACTTTTCTTTTATTGTTCCTATGGTGGGGATTCCGGATAGGGTGGGACAGGGGTGGGATCTGTTTTATATTTTTCCTTTTCAGCACAACCTTTGGCTTTTATATGGAAGGGCCAAGGGAGTCCTTGGCTGAACTTATGTCTGTCCCAGCCCTCCATAACCCCCTCTGAGATGAGGACCTTCCTTTTTTCCAGTGATGGATGTGACAGTCCAACATTGATGCCTGAGCCCTCTGGAGAATATGCTCCCAGCCCTTCCAGGGTCTCATCAAAACTCTGGGTTTAGAGTATTCATTTTGAAGGACCCCCCTATATACACACTTCCTTGGAGATACATAGCTGGGTTCTAAGCTTCACCAGGCAAAGTGGAACAGAAACCGTGTCTTTGTCTCTGAGTATAGGCTGTACTCTCTCTCACCCTTGCCACTTAAGGACTGTAGCTCCATTTCAGGCTACCCAGGGCATTCATTGACCCCTAGGATGACTGGCAGAATAAGAGAAGGGGAGGGAGAGAGGGTGTGATTACGTTAATATGCAGGTGGGAGTGGGGTCGAAGAGACTGCCATATAACAGCTGTTTCTCTTTTCGGAGTTTTATTCCAGGCCAGCTTGCTGTAGGTCTGGGTAGTTGGGTCATGGCTGCACTGGGATTGGGGATTGGAGTGGAGGGATACAGCTTGAAGGGAGTAGGGAACAGTCATATGTTCCAGTTTTAGGACACTGTGCTCAGGAATTTGAAAACGCTGCTATACTTAATCTGGTTACTACATTTCTTCCACTCCCCGATGCCCCCGCCAGCCTTACCAAGGCCCATACCCTCCTGTCGTCACCCTCAGATGGAGCAGGAAGCTCAGTTCAGGCTTCCCCACCCTTTGCACTAGTGTCTCTGCAGGTTGCTGGTTGTGTTATATGTACTGTTCCATGGTGTTGACTGCACTAATAATAAACCTTTCACTGAACTCTCTAAATTCTTAATTCAATACCATCCCCCTTCTTGTGAAGGTTTCTGCTCTGCTTTGGCCTTTTTCTCACCTTAATTCCCCTTCTTTCTTTGTAATCTATCCTTGTCTTAGAACTAACCTCTGTTTTAAGAGGATGTGTGTCTGGGACTAGTGGGCACCTCACATATTTGCCCTGTGTGCCCTCCTGCATCCTTCCCTCCTGTCTCCTGTAGCAGCCACCACTCTCTCCAGTGATCTGAATTTTGTTTTTTCCAGGGTCTGCCTCTGCCCCAAATTCCACGCCTTGTGCTCCTGGGGTTTAGGGACACTTTCCACAGAAGATACACTTGCACCTTTCTCCCCTGTTCCATCTTTGCTTTGGAATCTGGGATTCCATTGTAGGCAGGGAAGCCTCTACCCCCCAATGCTTCCTAACCAAGAAAGCAAATGTGAGGAAGGGCACCTGGAACGACCGACTACCTGCTGTGGTTGTTAAACCTCGATACACTCTTTTGTAGGCATTTCCTGCCACCTTCCTGTCATAAGAAAAAGAAAATATTCTTTTCTCTGAGTATTATATTTTAAATTTGTTGAGCATTTATCATGTACCTAATGTAAATCTAACAATAGTGGGAGTAAAGAGGGGGGGCATAAGGGCATTCCTGTGCCAACTGAGCACTACACTTTTTTTTATCCACCTCTACTATACTTTAATACACACAAGGTCTGATTATAAAATAGTGGTGAACACATCACAATATAGAGCATAAGAGGCAATCTATGTACTCTAGTGATACTAATAGTGCTTTTTTTCCTGGGTTTCCTTCAGATTTGCTTTTAGAACCTGCTGCTTATTCTTGTCAATGTCATGAATGGTACCAAATCTTCCTTTTAGGGTAGATTTGGTTTGTGGGTTTTTTTTCCTCAGATATGTCTTTATTAATTTCAGAGAGAGAGAGAGAGAGAATCATCAATGATGAGAGAGTCATTGATCGGCTGCCTCCTGCACGCCCCTGCTGGGGATCGAGCCCGCAACCTGGGCACGTGCCCTGAACAGGAATCAAACCGCGATCTCCTGGATCCTAGGTCGATGCTCACCTGCTGAGCCACGCCGGCTGGGCGGGTAGATTTGGTTTTTGAAAACAATATTCAGACTACGCTGCAAGGAACTCAGTAGGGCAGGGATGGGAGTGTTTATGTAGCAAAATGGCATCTACCTTCAAAGATTTACTCCCTAATAGAGATAAGTATATAATAAGACATAAATGTCAGAAGTGGATTCACAAGCAATATATGAGCAAAGGGAAGATAAAACCATTGACTAATGGGTTACAGGAAAGACTTTTTCAGAAGCAGTATTTGTTCTACATCAGAGTTTGGCAAACTACAGCTTGCATCCTGCTGTCTACTTTTGTAAAAAAACTATTGGAACCCAGCCTTGCCCAATTGTTTACATTTGTCTGTGGCTGTTTTTAGATCACAACAGAGAGTTGCGTAGTTGTACAGAACTATGGCCCACAAAGCCTCAAATATTTGTTTTTTGGTCCTTTATAAAAAAGTTTGCCAACCCTTTCTAAACTTTTTCTTAAAAGAAAAGTTTATTGACTTTTAGAGAGAGAGGGAGGGAGAGGGGGAAAGAGAGAGAGAGACAGAGAGAGTGAGAGAGAAACATCGATGTGAGAGTGCAACATCAATCGGCTGCCTCCTACATGTCCCTACTGGGGATCAAGCCTGCAACCAGGGCATGCGCCCTCAACCAGGAATTGAACCAGCAACCTCCTGGTGCACAGGACAACACCCAGCCAACTGAGCCTCACCAGCCAGGGCCCATTCTAAACTTTTAAGGTCAAAAGTATGAGCAGAAGAGAGAATTGGTTGTTTTAATTTTTTACTTCAGTACATAGGTTTGAAAAATCGGAACATTTTTATACATTGTCCAAGTAACAAGCACTTAAAATTAATATATCCTTAATCTAATACAAACCTATAGTCACATTTCCCCAATTGTCTTAAAAAAAAAAAACGTTTGGAGCTAATTTTTGTCCAACCTGGGATCCAATCCAGGAACCATGCATTACACCAAGTTATGTATATAGACTCTTTTTCTCTTAATCTGGAATCTTGGGACAACATATTTTTTTGATAACACTAACTTATTGAAGAGATTGGGCCAGTTGTCCTAAAGAGTGGTCTTTTGACTTTTCACAGTGTTCTTTAACCTGTTTTTGCTAGACAGAATTAGACCTAGAGTCTGAGAGATTCAAGTTAAACAGTTCTGGGGATAGAAGACATCGCAGGAAAGATGATCTTTATGTCAAGAGATAGGCCCAAGTGTCCCACTTGTAGGGAGATATTTTTAAAGCTGGTTAGGTGACCAGTATGTGCCCTCAGAGAATGGCACAGCTGGCAGTGCAGCTCTGGTTGGTTGCTGCCATACAAGAACAAGGACCCAATATTCCCAAATCTTATTTTTCAAGAACCTTTGGACATTCTAATGTTTATGCTAAATCTCACTACTTTTAAATGTTGGTTCAATTTTTTTAAAAACTGTAGGACAAAAAAAAAGAGTCTACCAGTTTGCAACCTCTGTTTTAGGCTGAAATCACAGCATGAATAAAAACAAGTGGAGATGAATATGTTGAAGAACGAAAAGCCTAGTGTGATCTGGAGCATAAAAGTTTTTGAAGGAAGTAATGGAAATAAGGCTAAAAATAATTTGAGGTCAATGCTTGGAAGGCCTTGAATACATGGCAGGGAATTTGGACATTTACAGTAAGTTTTTGAGAAGACAAGTGACTTCCAACTTATGATTTTAGTGGCAATGGGAAGACAGCGAAAATTTGCGACAATATTAAACTTTGCAGTAATTTATGTGAGAAGTTTAGAGCTTGGAACAGCAGGAAAGAGGACAAGAGTCATCCAGGGACAAAAAATTGACGGGCTTAGTAACTGACTAGGTTCACTTAGCCAACATAGCATACCTGCCATGTGCCAGGCATGGTGCTAGGCATTTGAGATTCACAAATAATTGAGAAACATGTCTTTAAAGGAATTTTCAGCTTGGTAGATGCACTTGAACAAATAATGGGGAATACAGGATAGTATGTTGCTAATAGATAAAGACTAAATGGGACAAGGCGGAAAAGGGTCCAACTACCTACCTGATGGGATGTAAGAGGGAAAGCTTCTCAGAGGAATCGTTGGAGCTGAGTTCTGAAAAGGATCAGATACTGGCCGTGAGGAATAGGGGTAACAGATCGAGCATTTAGTGTGAGTCAGGCACTAAGTATTAAATATCTAGTCATCCCAACTTTATAAAAAGGCACTATTATCTCCATTTTTTTATGTGGGGAAACAAAGGAAAAACTTCGCACAGCAATTAGAACAGGGATTTGAAACCAGAAAGTCATTCCAGAGCCTGTGCTCCTAACCACCGCACTTAACAAGGGACACTTAACCAAAGATGAGTCATAAAGACAGGTTTCTAGTCTGTGTAAATGATAAGACAATGTCATTAACCTGAATCGGGAGGAGAAGGATGAGCAGGTTTCAGGGGTGAAGTAGTGAGCTCAACTGGGGAGCACTGGATTAGAAGTGCTTGCACATAGAGGTGTGGAAATGAAAATGTGAGTCTGGAGCTTAAGAGTAAGAAGTCAGGGTTAAAGCAGAATTGGAAGCTATCCAGAGGTGATCAAAACATTCTAAGAATTAATACAAACATTAAAGGAGAGAATAAGAAGGCTAAGAATGGGGCCTTGGAAATTCCAGAAGTGGTCTAGGACAAAATCTGGAAAACAAATAAATGATAAAGTTGGCTAATGCATCAGCTTTTTAAAAAGTAATTTTGAAGTAGTAAATTTTTTTTTAATATGTCTTTATTGATTTCAGAGAGACGAAGGGAGAGGGAGAGAGAGGTGGAAACATCAATGATGAGAGTCATTGATCGGCTGCCTCCTGCACGACCTCCACTGGGAATTGAACCGGAAACCTGGGCATGTGCCCTGACCGGGAATCGAACCTTGATCTCCTGGACGGTAGGTCAATGCTCAACCGCTGAGCCACGCTGCCCAGGCGAAGTAGTAAATTATTTAAATGTGGCTCATAAACTAGCTGTGAAGGAGTTCCAGAAATATTTTGTACAACGGCAGCATTCCTGAAACAAGTGTAAGTTAAGATCATTTCAGCTCAAGTCCTCTAATTTGCTTTACTGGATAAACTGCAGAGATCTAAGCCTCTTAACGTTTGGAACAAGTCAACAACTTGCAAGGGTATAATATTAAATTGTTGTACGTTAGATTCCCACACATAAGCTTTCTAGTCACATAAAAGCAAGTTTGATACTTACCTGGCAGGGGCGATAACCATGATCACGAAGATGTTTTTCCGAGGCTGAGGCTTATCCATTGCACTCTGGATGTACTGACCCCTGTGATTTCTCCAAATGTGGCAAACTTGACTGCATAATTTGTAGTAGTGGGGGACTGCATTCACAATCTCCCCTGTACCCCCCCAAAAAACTTAAGATCTAAGAATTTGTAGCTGAAAAAAATTAGTGTAGGGTACCATTAGTTAGTCATTAATTATAAAATGAAGAGACAGACCCTGGCCGGTTTGGCTCAGTGATTAGAGCATCGGACTATGGACTAAAGGGTCTCGGGTTTGATTCTGGTCAGGGGCACATACCTTGGTTGCAGGCACGTGTGGGAGGCAACCAATAGATGTGTCTCTCTAACATTGATGTTTCCCTCCCTCCCTCCCTCAGTTCCTCCCTTCTGCTCTCTGAAAAGCAATGGAAAAAATATCCTCAGGTGAGGATTAAAAAGAATAAAAATTAAGAGACAGGAGCTTCATGAGAGAAGGAATTAGGCTGTCACATGGAAATGTCCAGCCTGATTAGATCGGGGGTATCTTATTGGGAAGAATTAAGGATTTAAAAAATGGGTGATTTAGGCAGGGTGTTCTTGAAAATAGGAGCATGTGTTTGATCAGACAGGCATTGAAGTTTCTGGACAAGGAAGTAATATGAA